CCCCCCCCCGCCTCTTAAATGTAGTGTCTACACTGGTCTTCTCCCTAGAAGTCCTCTTGACTTTACTTCTTCATACCTATAAAATCAGTCTGCTACTTTCCAATCCCACTGCAACTGCCTTGGTTCACACCCTCCTCTTTTGTATATATTGTGTAAATACTTTCCTTCTACCGGTGTCCTTGCTACCATCTTGCCCCCTACTCCAATCTATTCTTCACAGTGTAACCAAATTAATCCTAAAACAAATCTGATCATGGCACAGCCTCCTGAAAGCCTTCCAACGACTCACTACCTATAACAATCTCTTGAGAAAGGCCCCACAGACGATCTCGTCTCTCAGCCTGGAGTCTGGAAAGCCTACTGCTTCAGACCTGTCCTGTGCTGCACACTCTACCACCCCTCTGCCTAGCTATCTCCTGCCCGTCCTTCCAGAACCAGCACAAGCCTCCCTGCTTTCTGCACCCTTGACCCAGCCATGCATCAGGCCGGGCACGACCCTCCGGTGGCCCCACCGTCCAGGACGGTAACGACTCCCGATCCTGAGTGTGCCCTGCTGGACGTGAGCACCTCCAGGGCGGCAGCTGTGTCTTAGGCATCTCTGGGGCCGCCGTCGAATCAGTGAGTGAATGAGACAAGAAGACAAGAACGTCTTCTCTTCCCAGCTCTGCTCTCATCCAACCGTGGGCCTGGGTTTTGGTTTCCTCTGAAGACTTAGACTGGAGCGCGCCTCATTCGCGCAGAGCAGGAGGGAACTCGGCTGCGGGAAGCCGGGCGCAGAAAACGCACTAGTCCAGCCGCCGCCCAGGCGGGCCGCCGACACACGCCTTTCCCTCGGCGCGCGCCGCTTACGTCACAGCCTCGCCGTTCTCTCTGCCCAGCCACACCTCCCACCTGCCGCCAGGCGACCCGGAAGCTGTAGTTGCGACCCGGCTTTGCCTCTCCCACAATACCCCGCGCTCTTCCTTTCCAGCCTGGGCCCGGCAGGGTGAGTATGGGTGGTTCGTCTCGGCTTCGGGAATCTGGCTCCATCCTCGGCCGGGATTGTGCTGGCCGGGACAGCGGCCTTTCTCCTGAGCGGGCCCGGGGCTCCGCGTTGCAGGGAGACGGCAATCCGCGCTGTGTTTAAGGGTTCCCATAGCTCGAGAAGGAGAATGGCCAGGCTTAGGGGAACCGGGGCCGCAGGGGTTTCCGGGGCGGGGGCATTTCAGGAGCGCCGGTGTCTGGACCGCGGGCGGCCGGCTTGCTTTTGCACAGGCCTGGGCTTCAGGGGTCTGGCCGGACCCTCGGTACCCGGAATCGCGCCGAGGGCGGCAGCGTGAGGCCGGGCCCTGTTGGGGGGACTTAGCCTGTGGTTGTCCCATTCTGCTCTGAGCCTGCTTGTCGCCTGCGTTTAGATGGCTCCCGCTAAGAAGGGTGGCGAGAAGAAGAAGGGCCGCTCTGCCATCAACGAGGTGGTGACCAGAGAATACACCATCAACATCCACAAGCGCATCCATGGCGTGTGAGTACCCTGCAGGCGGCCGATGCCGCGCGGGTCGGGGGCTCTCGGAGGCCTGCTCAGTCGATTAGAGGCCGGGTGGTGCAGAAGTCATGCATTTCTTCTTCAGAAGCTCCAGTCTATGCCGTGGAGCCTGTTTCAGGTTTATAGAGTTTAAAGGGTGGTGCTCGGAGGTTAGTGACTGGAGACGTGAGGTTGCGTGATGCAGGTTCTGGGAGAGCCACTTTGGGAAAACTTGGTGATGAGAAAAGCATCCTCCTCAGCCTTTGTAAGTGAATCAATCCCTGGCGGCCTAAAGGGTGAAAGATTTGTATGCGACGGAAAGCAAACTTTAATGTTTCTAGACTCGGATAAAGCTGTACCGGCCCAAGAGGTGAGCACTTTACAGGGTTACTTTCGTTCTCTGACGCACAGCTCTGTGTTGGTGTTGGTTGTAGTTAGTGTTGGTTGGTGATTAGTGTTGGTTGAGTCGTAATAACATGAAACTGCCAGAGAGACGAGAAAGATTGTATCAGTGGAGGGCAGTGCTTGTGGTGAGGACCCAGGAGTGTTGTGGGTTTGTGATACACAAGAACGTCAGGAAGGGTTTTGTTTTTTTAAAAGATTTTATTTTTCCTTTTTCTCCCCAAAGCCCCCCGGTACATAGTTGTGTATTTTTAGTTGTGAGTCCTTCCAACTGTGGGATGTGGGACGCCGCCTCAGAATGGCCCGATGGGCGGTGTCGTGTCAGCGCCCAGGATCCGAACCTGGAAACCCGGGCCTGCCAAGGGGAGCGCACGAACTTAATCACTCAGCCGTGGGGCTGCCCCGCAGGAAGTGTTTTGAATGTTCTGGTGCTTGTTGTTTTCCTCTGCATTTGGTGTTTAGTTCTTGAGCTTAGTGAGGTTTTCTCCGTTTTTGCACATGGTGCTTATTGCTGATAGTGGAGACCAGATCTCTTGAATACTGTTATTTGGAGTACCTTTAATAGCACAATGTTACAGGGTAATATTCTATGCAGGCACCAATCCATGGAACAGGATTTCTTGCACTTGACTGTGCAGTCATCTCAGGAGAACTAATCTTTGCCGGGGATTTAAATATGCTCCAGCGTCCGCATCGGGCCTGGCATTTTTGCGCTATGTTCCCTGCCCAGTGTTGACATGTGTGAGCTAAGGAGCATCACGCGCATTGTCTTATTTTGGGTCTCTGAGGTGGCTTCTGGGTCAAAACGCCCGTGCCTTTTTTGTGCGTTAATGCTGCTTGTGGGGAACCACATTCCCTTCCCGCCTGTTTATTTGGTGCGTGCGCACATTCGTTTTGGGAGCATATCAAGTACCTGTTATTAGGTATTGTTCTTGGCTCTGCAAATAAGGGCAGAGAACCAAAGATCCTGCTTTACTAGTTTACTTACGGGGAGTTAGACAGCAAGGATTTAGATGTAAAATGGTGAGTGCTAAGTGGAACGTAAGTCACTGGTTGAAAGGGGTGCTGTTTTAAAGGCCACACAGATGATGACATTTGAAAAGTGTGGGTGTGAGCCATTGCAGGTGGACGAGGTTTTCGGGCATTTTGTGCTTTGTTACAAAAGCCTCTAGCGAAGACTTAGATGACACTGAATCCTTTCATTATTTTTCAGTCCTTACTTGATCAACAATTGAGAGTTCATTCTTATGTGAAAATGCTGTATTTGTATTACTTCCAAAGGGTCCGGTCGTGTGTTTTTCTTCTTGCTTCTCTAGCTACTCCTTCTACTTTGCTAGTTCCTCCTCACAAGCTTCCTCTTCATATTGAGGAGCCCCAGGACTCAGTCCCTCTTCTGTCTGTGCTTGGTAATAGCAGCTAGTCTTAGGACTGCAAATATCCAACTGCTGTCAACATCTCTACTTGCGTGTTTAAATAGGCATCACAAACTTTGCAGGGCCCCAAACTGAATTCGTGGCATACATCTCCACCCCCAACCTTCCCGTTTCTGGTCACCTTCCCTGTTGCAGTCGTGAGTGATGGCGCATGTCCTCTTGGCTCTGCCTTCCATGGTCTGACCGGTTGCGCTGGTCCCACAAACGTTCTCTCCCTTGAATGGTTAGTTAGCAGCTGTCGCTCCTGGTTCCCTCTCCCAGCCCCAAACACCACCTGATCTATTCTCAAAGTCTTCATTGGCCTCCTGTCTTACTCAGATGAGAAGCCAGAGTTCTTGCTATCATCCCACATGAGCTGGCCACTTATTTTCTTAATCATACCAGGCATGTACCTGATTCAGGGTAGCTTTTTGCTTTATTTTTACTTTTTTTCTCTGTCTGAATGCTTTTCTGAGAGAACTAAATGACTGCCCTTGTCGTCTTCAGATCTTCACTCCAGTGTCTCTGGCCATCTTATTTAAACCTCCAATCCCCTTCCCTAATGCTCCCTCTTTTCCTTGGTTTATTTTTTTGTGTAGTACTCAATACCATCTGATGTACTCAATGTGTCATTTACATAAGCTACGTAAAGAACAGGGCATTATGTCTGTTAGATGTACTACTGTTATTTCTAGTGTCCTTTTTTCTAGATGGTTAAGTATTTAAGTGAATGAAATGAGCTTGCTTAATAGGGTTTTAGAAATAGCAAGGAGGCTGGTGAGGGCAGAGCAAAGGGAGCAGGGGAGATAAGGTAAGAGAAGAGGCAGAGTGAGGTGGAGGGGGTGGGGAGACAGATCTTGTAAGCCATGTGAGGTCACTGAAGGGTTTAGAGCAGAGTTATGTCACCCTAGCACGCTCTGTGTGTTGCTTTGATCGGATTTCAGAGTTCACTTGATCTAACAAAAGTATGGAGCACCCACCATGTGCCAGGCACTGTGCATGGGGGTTACAGAGGTGCCATGGCCCCTTCTCCGAAGTTCACGGTCTTGGGGTGCTGCGATACCTGTTTGGTCTTTGCCCCACTTGGAATGGCCTTCACATATCCAAATGCTTGACCATTTCAGCAGTAGTAAAGTTTTCCTTTTTCATCATCTTTATTAACTGAAAGCATGAAATTCAAATGAATTTATGTACCCTCATCTGAACAATGGGAGTTGGAACACACATGAGTTAATGACAATGCCTGGCTCATAGTGAGAGCTCCAGAGAATTACTGTTATCCTCCTCATACTTCTGGAGAGATCTGTACATTTCAGTTCCCTGTTCTTTAAGTGTAGACCAAGTTAATGAACCTTAAGTGTTGTATACTTGATGTTTAGGCATATTCTAACACCGTTCTTTTATTACATTCTCTTTGGCTGGTGGTTTTATTAGAGCCTGGGGGTGTTTTTGTTTCTTTTGTCAGGAAAGAGTTGACCAGTGTGTATATTAGCATCTCCTAAGGATCATACACAGAGCTTTTGTCCTACATCATTGAAAATGGATTATATATTTTCTCTGTCCCAAGTATTATACTGGGCACAACACACTGGTGGAAAAAAGGATTGGTCCTGCCTTGTTCAGGGTTTGGTTTAGATTTGTTTTGTGAAAATAGGACTGGCTGTGTTATGTATTTCGTTTAATTTTGTTCTCATTTATTTACTCAATTTGAATCTCAGGGGCTTCAAGAAACGTGCCCCTCGGGCACTCAAAGAGATCCGGAAATTTGCCATGAAGGAGATGGGAACTCCAGATGTGCGAATTGACACCAGGCTCAACAAAGCTGTCTGGGCCAAAGGAATAAGGTGCTAAATTTACCTATGTTATGCACTTTTACAATTACACCAGCTTAACCAACTCACTCTGCATAGTCTTTCTAAGTTTAGTAATTTAGCTAATGCACATGAAAGTATTTAAAAAGAAAAATGTGGCAGAGTCAAAGGAGGGGTAGCATCAGCAGGGAAGCCCTTTCAATGTGGTATGTGAACTGAGACCCAAATGATAAAGGAGCCAGCAGTGTGAGGGTTGGGTAAGAGCGTTGCACAGAGAGAACAAACTTGCTGTGATCTGGGGACAGGGGTTATGAAGATGGAGTAGAGTAAGTGAGGACAGTGAATGAGGATGGAGAGTTAGGCAGGGGACGCATTATGTGGAATCTGGTCACGGTGAACTTTGGACTTAGCTCAGACATAATGAGAAACACTGGAGCAGTGGTTTCCAGCCAGAAGCAATTTTACTCACCTTTCCTAGGGGGCATTTTAGATTGTCATTACTGGGGGTCACTACAGGCCAAGGATGCTGCTAAGCATCCTACAATACACAAGGCAGCCCACCATAGCAAAGAATCATCCATCCCAAACGTCAGTAGTGCCAAGGATGAGAACCCTTTTGTAGTTTATAAGCAGGAGGATAGTTTTTTCTGTGGAGGATGATGTAAGGTGCCAGAGTGGAAGTGGGACCAGCTACGCGGGGTGGTACTGGCATGAACTAGGTGATTGTATGAGGCTGCCTGTGTCTGGGTGGTATTTCAGTGTTGGGGTTAGAGGGGATGACATAGAGAGACTTGAGATTCAGCCCTGCAGTGAGCCAGCATTTAGGGTTGTGGTAGAGATGTGTGTAATAAAGGAGCTGCCGACGAGCTCCCTTGAGATAGTAAGGGAGGAGTGGTGTCACATGAGCCAAGAGAAGTCCTAAGTTTCAGAGTGCCTCAAGTCCTGAGATAGATAAAAGGAGGCCATGCCGTCATCTATAAAGCTGCTGAGAGGTTGGATGGGATAGGATCAGAGTGTTATCTGCATAGGTAGAGAAACAGAACATTTAATAGTCTTACATTTTCAATATAGCCTGCAGAGTTTTCAGTGTTTCTCCAGACTTAAATTTAACAGACAAATCTCATAACCAAGATTTGTATGTTGGTAGAGGGGGAAGGACCTAGCGTGTTTGGGCCCACATTTCTGCATGGGATTGAATGCATAGGTTGAAGGTTGGTGGTGGCTGCCTACTAAGACAGGTATGCATCGTGAGACAACAGCATTTAATGCCCGCTTGTAGGTGTTTATTTTCTAGGGAACTGATAAACACATCTAGTACTAGCTGGCTGGTCCAATTAGAGCAAAGGACAGAGCACTAGAAGCATGTTAAGAAGTGAGGACAGGATGTGAGAGAAGAGCAGGTGGCATTGGCTCGAGCAGCACATTTATATTTTTATCAGGAATGTCCCATACCGTATCCGTGTGCGGTTGTCCAGAAAACGTAATGAGGATGAAGATTCACCAAACAAACTCTATACGTTGGTTACCTACGTACCTGTCACCACTTTCAAAAGTAAGTTTTACTCCGTCCCACAAAGCTGTTTAGAGAAACCACCTTAGCCCTGTTATAGCCTGAATTTATGTGTTCAGCAAATACTTAGTGTGCACCTGTATGCCTGGCATTTATCCAGTAGGAATGTAAGGAACAGGTATAATCAGCAGACCTTGTTTAATTGTCAAGGTGTGGAAGAATGCAAAAGGACACAAAACAAGTCTGTATCTGGGTTGTAAAAAGGTCACATGGAATCCTACTGCTTGCCTAAACCCTTCAAGAAAAGGTTTTGGAGTATAAAGTGTGTGGGGCTGGAGGCTGACTGGCTGTCACTTCTTTTACAGATCTACAGACAGTCAACGTGGATGAGAACTAACTGCTGATTGTCAAATAAAGTTATAAAACCGCCTCCGTGTTTCGGTTTTCCTTCGCTGGTTGCACGCTTGTATGTTATAAAGCAGTTTCCAATTATCAGATCATTTGGAGACCTTTTCCTAAATACTGATTCCTCTGTGCTCTTATCCCCAGCCCCTGGGGTTTCTGAATATTTGGACAGGACCTAAGCAGGGTTTTTAGGGTGATTTTTTTTTTAAGTAAGCCTGGCTTGAGAACTCTAGGGAGGTAGGACGTTGGAGGTATGATGTTGATGTGCTTTAACAAACTAAAATGATGCGATCGATACGCCTATGAGGGTTAAGGAAATGTGTTTGGCAGCATGTCTTTAAGCTCCTGCCGGCATCTGTATTGACTATACTTGTGAAAAGGTACAGAATAGTCTTGTAAAATTATTGATTTTTTGATAGGGTAACCAGATTATGCTTAACACTTCATAATTTAGCTCATTTATTTGTAATGGCTCCAGGAGGCATCTCTAGTCCAGATTTACATGGAGCTAAAGTTCAAAAACAAAGTTTCTTAAAGTTACAGTCACAAAAATATGTTAAATTCGGCCTGAAAACAAGGTGTCACAGGGATTCTATTTCATCAGTGTTTAAGCTTCTGACCCTTGTTAAATGCTGCCATAAAGAGATTCCCTTTCTGAAGCCCTGCTGGTGATGGTGCACAGCCACAGCGGGCGTGTGGGCCACCTACAGCATATTGCACTGTTGACGGGGGACGTGGAGACATCTCCAGCTTAGCCAGTCACTGGCACCGTCCAGACCTTAGACACTGAAATAAGGATAAGGTATAAACAAGGACCAAGTCAATACAAAAACTTCTTATTAAAAAACTTGGAGGCCAACATTGAAAGCATGGTTTGTACACAACATTTTTGGAAGGACACAGAGTGAATACAACCAAATATATTAAAACGGTTTCAATTACCAGCATTGAAACAAAATTAGTGCAAAAAAAGCCAAATACAATTGCACAGACAGTGGCTCTTAGATCTTGAAAGGGAACTTGATTCTTGACCTCTCCCATTATCCAAGTGAAAAATGAGAGCTTGGGCTTAGCTTGTCTCTGGGTTAGTATGACACATTGGACTCTTGTGTTCTGAGAACAGAATCAGACCAGCATCACAGCATAAGTGTCCATTTCAGCTAATCATAGACGTGAAATTGCAAGTCACAGCATCGAGGGAATTGACATATGGATACCCTGTGGCACTGCCTATCCACCTGCTAATTCTCTGGAATAAATAGAAATGCTTGAGGGTTGCATCCATTCCCCTAACCACAGTGACCGTCAGCTGGCTTATCCAGATGCCCAGTTTCTGAAGTATACTCAACGAATCAGACTGGAATCTGGTGTTATAGGCTGACAGCTCACAAAACTGGCCCCTGCTTTGGTATGGCAGACTTGTCTCCACAGCAAGCCGCTGTCTTGCTACAGGCTGCTCAGCTTGAGTTCAGGCTGAGATTGGCGGTTCATTTCCAAGGTTTTGAGACTATATTGATTGATCTTGGCATTTTCAAGTTTGGATTTAATGTCCAGTGGTTTTTCAAAAAAGTTTACTAATGACTGTTCAGTCAGAAGTGATGCTAAGATATGTTCAAGGGAGATAGTCCAGTCCCCTTCTGCCCCCTCAGGAAATCCCTGGGAGTCCTGGGGAATCTTCCCAGTGTTGGTGTCAGCAAAAACGGAGTCCTGCTCAGGGGAAGGAGCTGAAGCCTGCAGCTCCTCCCCACATTCCTGGGAGCCACTTCCTGAGCTGCCACTTCTCTGCCCCACTTCCCCGATCTGCAGCAGCAGAGTGGTTACTGTAGCGATGGCTTGATACAGATCATTTTCTTCTGGATCTTCATGGAACATACTGTACAAAGTTTTACAGAACTGGATAAATTCTCTCTGGAATGAAAAAAAAAAGTCTATATAGCAGCATAACCAGGATGGAAGTCTAACGTATTTTTAAAAATTATAGTAGTCCCCCTTATCCACAGTTCATTTTCTGTGGTTTCAGTACTCGGTCAACCACAGTCCAAAAATATTAAATGGAAAATTCCAGGGGCCAGCCCCATGGCCGAGTGGTTAAGTTTGCACGCTCCGCTAAGGCGGCCCAGGGTTTCCCTGGTTCAGATCCTGGGCACAGACATGGCACCACTCGTCAGGCCATGCTGAGGCAGCGTCCCACGTGCCAAAACTAGAAGGACCCACAATTAAAATATACAACTATGTACTGGGGGGATTTGGGGAGAAGCAGAAAAAAAAAAAAGATTGGCAACAGTTGTTTGCTCAGGTGCCAATCTTTAAAAACAAAAGAAAAGAAAATTCCAGAGATAATTCCTACGTTTTAAATTGCACACCATTCTGAGTGGCATGATGAAATCTCAAGCTGTCCTGCTCCATCCTGCCTCGAAGCTGAATCATCCCTTAGTCCAGCATATCTACGCTGTATACACTACCCAACCGCTAGTCACTTAGTAGCCCTCTCGGTTATCAGCTTGACTGTAGGCATATCACAGTGCTTGTGTTCAAGTAACTCTTATTTTACTTAATGGCCCCAAAGCACAAGAGTGATGCTGGCAATTCGGATATGCCAAAGAGAAGCCATAAGTGCTGCCTTTAAGTGAAAACGTGAAAGTTCTCAACTTAAGAAAAGATGCTGAGGTTGCTAAGATCTGCAGTAACTTACTACAGTATGTTATTCTTCTATTTTATTATTAGTTGTTCATCTCTTAGTGTGCCTAATTCATACATTAAACTTTATCATAGGTATGTATGTATAGGAAAAGACATAGTATGTATCGTCATGTGTCACTTAACCACAGGCATATGTTCTGAGAAATGCATCGTTAGACAGTTTCATCATCGTGCACACATCACAGAGTGGACTTAGAAAACCTAGATGGTATGGCCTACTACACACCTAGGCTATATGGTACTAATTTTTGGGACCGTCGTCATATACCTGGTCCATTATTGAGGGAAACATCACTACGCAGCACATGACCGTACAGAGTTCAGTACTATGCATGGTTTCAGGCATCCACTGGGGGTCTTGGAGCATCCCCTGCGGATGAGGGGGATGACTGTGCTTAGTTGTTTGAGAAAGCCACATGGTACTTTCTGAAGCAGAATATTAAAAAAGGTAGTCTGCTCTTCCACTCTGAAAACGCTATTAACAGTCTCCAGGGAATTTCAGCAAACGCTTGGAAGTGTGCTGTTTGTCTATACAGCAACTGTTAAGAAATGTGTACATCCCAATACCATTCACAATCGCAACAAAAAGAATAAAATACCTTGGGGTAAATTTAACTAAGGAAGTGAAGGACCTATATAATGAAAATTACAAGGCCTTTCTGAGAGAATTGGATGACGACATAAGGAGATGGAAAGACATTCCATGTACATGGATTGGAAGAATAAACATAGTTAAAATGTCCGTTCTACCTAAAGCAATCTACAGATTCAACGCCATCCCAATCAGAATCCCAATGACATTCTTTACAGAATTAGAACAAAGAATCCTAAAATTCATATGGGGCAACAAAAGACCTCGAATTTCTAAAGCAATCCTGAGAAAAAAGAACAAAATGGGAGGCATCACAATCCCTGACTTCAAAACATACTACAAAGCTACAGTAATCAAAACAGCATGGTACTGGTACAAAAACAGGTGCACAGATCAATGGAACAGAATTGAAAGCCCAGAAATAAAACCACACATCTATGGACAGCTTATCTTTGACAGAGGAGCTGAGGGCATACAATGGAGAAAAGAAAGTCTTTTCAACAAATGGTGCTGGGAAAACTGGAAAGCCACATGTAAAAGAATGAAAATTGACCATTCTTTTTCACCATGCACCAGAATAGACTCAAAATGGATCAAAGACCTAAAGGTGAGACCTGAAACCATAAGGCTTCTGGAAGAAAACGTAGGCAGTACACTCTTTGACATCAGTATTAAAAGGATCTTTATGGACACCATGCCTTCTCAGAGAAGGAAAACAATAGAAAGAATAAACAAATGGGACTTCATCAGACTAAAGAGCTTCTTCAAGGCAAATGAAAACAGGATTGAAACAAAAAAAAAACCCACTAACTGGGAAAAAATATTTGCAAGTCATATATCTGACAAAGGCTTAATATCCATAATATACAAAGAACTCTCGCAACTCAACAACAAAACATCAAACAACCCAATCAAAAAATGGGCTGGAGACATGAACAGACATTTCTCCAAAGAAGATATACTGATGGCCAACAGGCACATGAAAAGATGCTCATCATCGCTGATCATCAGGGAAATACAAATCAAAACTACACTAAGATATCACCTTACACCCGTTAGAAAGACAAAAATATCTAAAACTAATAGTAACAAACGTTGGAGAGGTTGCGGAGAAAAAGGAACCCTCATACACTGCTGGTGGGAATGCAAACTGGTGCAGCCACTATGGAAAACAGTATGGAGATTCCTCAAAAAATTAAAAATAGAACTATCATACGATCCAGCCATCCCACTACTGGGTATTTATCCGAAGAGCTTGAAGTCAGCAATCCCAAAAGTCCTGTGCACCCCAATGTTTATTGCAGCACTGTTTACAATAGCCAAGACGTGGAAGCAACCTAAGTGCCCAGCAACAGACGAATGGGTAAAGAAGATGTGGTACATATATACAATGGAATACTACTCAGCTGTAAAACAGAACAAAATCATTCCATTTGCAATAACATGGATGGACCTTGAGGGAATTATGTTAAGTGAAATAAGCCAGCGAGAGAAGGATAATCTGTGTATGACTCCACTCATATGAGGAATTTAAAATTATGGACTAAGAACAGTTTAGTGGATACCAGGGGAAAGGTGGGGTGGGGGGTGGGCACAAAGGGTGAAGTGGTGCACCTACAACATGAATGACAAATATTAATGTACAACTGAAATTTCACAAGATTGTAACCTATCATTAACTCAATTAAAAAAAAAAACCTTCAAATTTAATTCTAGGTAGAATCTTTACATTT